TGTATTTAGGTCCTAGGCCATTGAGTGATTTATAAACGAGTAAAAGTACTTTAAAATCAATCCTAAATATAACTGGAAGCCAGTGTAAGGACCTGAGGGCTGGTGTAATATGCTCAGATTTTCTGGTTCTAGTCAGAATTCTGGCAGCAGCGTTCTGGATGAGCTGCAGCTGTCTAATGGTCTTCTTGGGAAGGCCGGTGAGGAGACCATTACAATAGTCCACCCTGCTGGTGATAAAGGCATGAACAAGTTTCTCCAAGTCTTGACTGGAAAATTCTTGCAATGTTTTTGAGATGATAGTATGCTGATTTAGTTACTGTTTTGACATGACTACTGAAACTAAGGTCTGTCTCCAGAATCACACCAAGATTCTTGACTTAATTTTTAGTTGTTAGACCCCTAGAGTCAAGGTATGCATTCACCTTGAGAACTTCATTTTTGTTTCCAAATGCAATGACTTCAGTTTTCTCCTTGTTTAACTGAAGAAAATTGTTTAACTGAAGAAAACTTCATTTTTGTTTCCAAATGCAATGACTTCAGTTTTCTCCTTGTTTAACTGAAGAAAATGTTGGCACATCCAACTCTTAATTTCATCAATGCATTGGCAGAGGGAGTCAATGGGGCTGTAGTAATTTGGTGATAAAACTAGGTAAATCTGGGTATCATCAGCATAGCTGTGATGGGCAATTTGGCTCTTTCTCATTATTTGACTTAGTGGGAGCATAAACAGGCTAAACAAGAGCGGTGCGAGAATTGAGCCTTGTGGGACTCCACATGTCATGGATGTCCACTTAGACTTATGCTCTCCTATACTCACATAATAACCTCTCCCTTCTAAGTATGACCTGAACCATTTGAGTATTTTAAGTTGCCTTGGGGTCCCTTTGGGAGTTTACTGAGGCCCTCTAGTGAAAACCACTAGTCCTAACAACCAGACAGAGCAATCTAGCAACAAGCCAGAACACCCTAAGAATGCATAGTAACCTGTCAGAACCTCAGGAGCAAACACTCATACACCAATTATCACCGCACCATCTATTTATTTGTCTGTTTGTAGGCCTATGTCTTTTGGTCTTTCTGTCTGGCGGCTTTAGACCTGTATAACTTCAAAACATTTTAAAAACTAAAGTTCAGAAATTGAGCCTCCTTTGTCTGTCATTCTTCCCTGATAGCACACGTACATCACAGAGACGTCTATTTGACATCTGCAAGATATATTTTCAAGAGTGTTTGCAATACGTCTATAGGATATTTACTGTCAGACATTAAATAGACTATATCTAGAAATATCTATAAAATGTCTTTAAGATGTTTATGATTCATAATGAATGTAAAACTGACATCTTAAAGGGGTCATATGATGCGATTTCAATTTTTCCTTTCTCTTTGGAGTGTTACAAGCTCTTGGTGCATAAAGAAGATCTGTAAAGTTGCAAAGACTAAAGTCTCAAATCCAAAGAGATATTCTTCATAAAAGTTAAGCATCATATGACCCCTTTAAGGACATTTATCAAATATTTGTACATAGCAGCTGCTTTCCAGATAGGATCTTTAACAGACATCTCGCATACGTACATGTGCTATCTGGGTTCAGACATCACACTATTTTCAAACTTCCAAACAAGGCTTTATTAGACTAACACCAAAGTTTTATTAGACGCACTTTACTCATCTGGTTTACAGTTGCTCTTACACACACACACACACACACACACACACACACACACACAGTGTCATTGGCAGGTAATGTGTGTGATGCAACGTCATCGCCTGTATGCCACTCCTCAAGACTCTCCCTCTGCAGCTTTAGGGCTGTTTGGTTTGTGTGCAACTGGAGACTCAGAAGGACTGCGGTGTCAACAGGGTGACTTTGTATTTGGCCTTTCCCACTATCATAGTGTGCGCTTTTTTTGAGCACATCGCTTCGGAAAGACTGTTTTCAGTCCAAAATGCAGCACGTAAGTGGAATATGGGAAAATCACAGGTGAAGCTGTGCGTGTAATTTCAGTCACGGATTGTAGCGGATCCAGGTGAGTCTCTGTAAAAAGCTACGACTCTATTATAATGTTTTATAATGCGGTGAAAACTTGCTTAATATTTATTATATAGGCCTATAACTATGCACATATCGTAGTTTGCGAAGTTGTTTTTTTGCGGGCCATAATACCGCAATTGAAACTATGATTAATGTATTATGTATACAAGGATTATTAAATAGCGTCAAACAGCTGTACGAGTCTTTAATATTTGCACTATATTTGTAATTCTTTAATATTGCATCTTATGGTCTATGTTTTTTAAATTTATTTTTTAATATATTTTTTTATTTAAAGAAGATAGACGTTTAATGATAGGCAGATGTATAGTTCTACAGTCTGCATGACATAACCTATTCTTTCTCTGAAGTAGTAGCCTACATTTTTTTTTCTTCAGCTGGGTTGACCTGGGATCATGGATTGACTGTCTGACCTGCCCTGTCTTGACTTACTGAAGCAATATATGTTTGTTTATGCTATTACATTGTTATCAGTGAGAATGCTGTGGCAAAATTGGCCCCTGGAGGAATGTCAGAAGGAGACAGTCGTTTGTGTAGACTCAGTAATTAGTCTAGTTTGTTGTGCCTTAGTAATATTTTGCATATCAGATGAACAGATTTTTTAGAGAAGACTTGCTTTTGTAGTGGTTGATTGACATGACTACACATTTAGTTTAATCCCATATGGTATCTGGCCTCAGCTGCCATCTCTTTAATGATGAAAATTATATATTAGCACAAAATGATATATCTTTTTGGAACTGATTGATCATAAGCTTCATTGATCTGAGTGTACACACAGTTAACATTGCCAAAATTATATATATATATATATATATATATATATATATATACACACACTGATTGGTTGTTGGCCTCATTGATCTTAGTATATATTATATATACTCACAAAAGTGAGTACACCCATCACAATTCAGCAACCATTTTAGTATATCTTCTCAGGGGACAATACAATACTAGAGTAGTCAATGTGCTACTTGTATAGCAGTATAGATTTACTGTCCTCTGAAAATAACTTAACATACAGCCATTATTGTCAAAATAGCTGGCAACAAAAGTGAGTACACCATAAGTATAACAGCTGTACGTCGTTTAACCATGCAAAGCCACAAGTCTCCACACTGATCACCTTGTATTTATTTGATAAGAATGTGTAGGAATGTATATTATTTAAAATATGTATTATTATTGGTCAGCCATGTTGTCAAACTGGCTGCTGCTAAGATGAAAATTATTATTTGAAGTTGTCTGGCACCGAAATAGAAAGTTAATGTCAAATGTTTTGAGGTCATTTAAACCTGGACTTTAACCCACTTCCTTCTCAATAAGTGCATATAATGTGGGAAAATAAAGGACTGTACTGACCACAGACAATAGCTTGTTGGATTTGGGTAAATCTCGTCCTTGGCAATTTAATAACTTGCATGTTTGCAAATAAGGCTGATGGCATGTTCATGGAAACTGAAACAAGTAAATATAAAATGAAAAATATAGATGCAATTCAAATACTGTAGCAAAGTGTTTCTAAAATGATCCTGAAACATAAAGCACATTGATTGCCCTTTAAATCTGTGTCTCATCCAGTTCCAAGGCAGTAGCTTTCCATTAAGTCAGCTCTCTGCACCTGTGTTTGCAGTGCTTGGCTCTTTTGTTGATGCCTTGTGTTCATAACCTTGTACATTACCATGCTGTCAGAAATAACCATCGTTCAGTACTGTGTTAGACATTTCTTCTGGGATCATGATGTGCTTGTGCTTTTGCGTTTGAATAGAGAACTTAATTGTTTGACAAAAAAAAAATTAAAAATAAATTTTCAGTGTGACTTAAGTGTTTGTGATTGTTCTGCTTTCATAATCAAAATGACACATTTCATCATTTTACTTTGCTTGGTTCAGAAATTCTGTACCAAAAACAATTCACTGTGTATTTACTTTACTGATCACGATAAGAACATATTCATGAAATCAGATAAGAATCGTCTTTTTTATCTTGGCATAGAGTTAACTCAATGAAAAATTGCATACAATTTTGTACACATAATGATGACCTTTCAGCTGTTGTGATGAGTGAAGGTGTTTACACATGCTAAGTAGTTGTTTTGCATGTCTAGATTGATGTTTAAAGTAGAAACAAGCTCTACAGGTGGTACTTAACGTGCTTGTTGTGGACATCTTATTGACATTGTGGAGGTTTGTTTCTCGTGCAGGAAAAATGTGGAGAGATGCAGAGCAGGCGCTGACTCTGATGTGGCTCCTCTCTTGGATCTCACACAGCATGTGTAAGTGAGGGATGCACAGCTTTAAAATTCAAAGAATAAATCCAGACAGTTGCCATTGTGTACTCCTGTTTTGTTTAGTTTTTTTGGTAAGCTATTGGGCTTTGGTGAGTGATTTTTCTATAAATGAATCATTTGGAGGCCTGTTGTTTATTTACAGTATATCAGCATTGTGTAACATTCAGAATTGAATTCCTGCATTTGAACTGAGGTAGCAAACAGGATACAGATATTTAAATTCTATATTGAATTTAAGGAAGTATAATAAACATGCTTCAACACACAAAGTATGGGCTATTTCCAGTAGCATTCAATAATAGTTTGTTAATAGTCTGTTTGAAATTTCACTTTATCTAGTTCTATTATTCTTACAGATATCTTATCATATACTCTTCAATTACAATATCTTTCCAGGTCATTCTCCCCCGATGAGGCCCAGACTAACAAGATGTCGGTCGCCTGAGAAAGAGACTTTTACTTGCTGGTGGGAGCCTGGATCAACAGGTGGATTGCCCACCAGCTACCACCTGTATTACAGAAAAGAGAGGTGAGTGCAGCCTACATCACTATTCAGCATCGTTCATCTTGCTGTCAAAAAAGTATATTTGCATAATTTTTTTTCCCTATGTCAAAGCATGGATAGTTACTTCATTGTGTGCTTATTATGACACAGTTTAGAATATAGGCTTTATTTGTCTCAATAAAATATCAAATGATTTTGTTTCTATCAGTAACATCAAAATGTTATTAAGATAATCTAGGATTTTGGGTTGATTATTGAAAGAAGTCACCTATGCTCACCAAGGCTGCATTTATTTGATCAAAAATACAGTAAAATCTGTAATATTGTGCAATATTAGTACAATTGACTTTTTTTGTAGTTTCTTATGTTTTAGATATTTAACATTTTTTAAAATGTAATTTATTCCTGTGATGGAAAAGCTGGATTTTCAGCAGTCATAACTCTAGTCTTCAGCGTTGCATGATCCTTCAGAAATCATGCCAATATGTTGATTTGGTGCTCAAGAAATATTACTTATCAATACTGATTGTTGTTTTACTCTCAGTGTTGAAGACAGGTGTGCTCCTTAGCAGTTTTTGTAGAAACTGCAATACATTTTTTCAGAATTTTTGGAGCAATGGAAACATCAAAAGAACAATTGTATAAAACAATATTTGTAACAATTTAAATGTCTTTACTCTTACTGTTGATTAATTTAATGCATGTTTTCTGAATAAAAGTACTAATTTCTTCCAAAAGCAAACATTTGAATTGTAGTTCTGATCTTCATTTTCTATTATTTTCTAAATATTTTTATAAGTTGTACACCACACATACTTATTAATAAACACACTAAACCTAGGATAACCTAGTATAGTAACCAAGTTCATTTTTACATATTTTATAAGCATAAATATCAGGTTTTGGTTCATTTGTCATTAATTTTAAACTTTTTCAGCTCTTTGGAAGTCTTTGAATGTCCGGATTATCATAAGGCAGGGAACAATTCTTGTTATTTTGATAAGCGACACACGTCTATTTGGATCATATACAACATCACAGTGGTGGCCTCCAATGCACTGGGAAAAGCCTTTTCGGAATCTGTAGAAGTTGATGTTATGGATATCGGTGAGTTCATTTAATGTGTTTACAAAATATTAAAATGCATCCAGAAAAGCTTTTGTTTTTGTGTGCTTGCAATATATACCCCTAGTATATACTGACCATGCATGAATGGTTAATGATGTTTTACTATAGAGGCCAATTTCAGGGTTGTTTTGACAACAGCCACAGTGCAATGAGCTGCCTGCTATATATAGTGTATATAAAGATTTCCTACCACTACATAAGGGCACACGCAGCTCAATCAGCAAAATCTTTACGGTGAAAGTTTAGAACTTTTTAACTTTCAGTTAGATCATAATACTAGAACAGGACCGATAACACTGCATGTAAAGTTATACAGTTTAGTTACAATTTCCCTTAAACCAGTTCAGTTACTGCTAGAAATGTGTGCACACTGGGCTCTTCCATCTGTAGAGCATCTGAGTGGAATGGAAAAGTACTAAATGGCACTAAACCGAGGCAGCTCTGGCTGACTAACTGAACAGAATGAGGATGATCAGGTTTGTGTCTTGCATTCTGCAAAACTCAAGCCATGTATCGAATATCCCACTGAAGATGCTTGAATGTGCTGGCATATGGTTGATGTTCTAATTTTTTTATGCATTAAGAGCATAAATACACTACTGTTCAAAGGCTGGGCATTTTCTATTTTAATATATTTAAAAATGTAATTTATTCCGGTGTTACTCAAGTGTCACATGATTCTTTAGAAATCTTTCTAATATGCTGATTTGGGGCTCAAGAAACTTTTTTTTTTATTAATGTTGAAAACATATCGTGCTGCTTAATATTTTTGTGGAAACTGTAATACATTTTTTCATGATTCTTTGATGAACAACATAGAACAACATTAACATAGAAATCTTTTGTAACATTATAAATGTCTTTACTGTCACTTTTGAGCAATTTAATGGGTTCTTACTGAAGAAAAAGTATTCTTATCTTTCCAAGAAAGAAAAAAAAAACTTACTAACCTTGAACTTTTGAATGGTAGTGTATAAGAAGCATATGAAGAATAGTCAAGTATCCATTTAGACCACATTCAGTTTATTCCCTTTTTTAGTACATATATTGTTGTCACTTACTGGTACATCATGTCTGTGCAGTTGATTGTCATCTAAGATGATTCATCTTCTTCCACACAGTGCAGCCTCACCCTCCAGAGAATGTAAATGTGACTTTCATGCAGACCACGAACAGTCCATATTTCCTGGTGCGGTGGCAGCCTCCGCATGACGCAGACACACGTTCAGGCTGGGTAACAATCAAATATGAAGTTCGCTTAAAAATTGAGAACAGAGGAAATGAGGAGGACAGCAATTGGGAGGTGAGATTCAAATAGTTTCAAGGTCATCAAGGTTCTTAAAAATGTTCTTATGGTTTGTCATTTTTCTTTTTTTAAATCAAAACTATTTAAGTAGGGCTTTCAACTGGGGGTCCATATATAAACCATATAGGATTTTTTAAATCTAAAAATATTCCATACTGTATTTATAAAAATTTGCTTCTAAATGTTTTAATTAATTATCAATTTATTATCAAAAAGAAAATATTTCTGTATTGGGAGTCTGTGAGTTGACTAGTTTTTGCATTTAAAAGTTTTGATACCATGTAATATAATTATGACTGAGACATAGTTTTAATTCTTGTGTTTTAGTCATATAGTGCTGGAAAACAATTGGAGTTTAGCATCTACAGTCCACAGCCAGGAGCAAATTACATCGTTCAGGTGCGCTGTAAACTAGACCAAGGCTTCTGGAGTGAATGGAGCCCCTCTGCATTCATCCATATTCCAGGCAGTAAGATGATACCAGCACCAGCAACTCAATCTTTCACACCTGCAGCCATTATGCTGCATTACTCAGCATTTTTAGCCTTACATAACAGTATCAGGCTACAGTAAAAATACTAAATAAAGTATAAATAAGTTTTTTAATTCTGCCTTTAGATCCATTTTAAGTCATTATACAGTACAGCATTAAAAGATGATGCAAAAAAGTAAGTCTTTGTGTTTCTCGCATTGCAGATATGTCTGACACACAGAATGCGGTTATGATCATTGCTGTCACACTAACCATCATCATTTTCCTGCTGACTGCAGGAGTGCTGACAGTCAAGATGAAACCGTAAGCATGACATCCCACCTCATCATAATGTCAAAGGAATTTACACTGATGACTGTATAACGATAACAGTTTTCATTCAAAATCAGTATTCTGTTCCCTAATGTGTGACACAAATTAATATTAACATTAATATAATATCCACCTTATTTTTTAATACAATACAATTTCCTTCTGATTTATTAGCTGCTATAGGTACAAAACTGTTGCAAAAATGCTAAACTTTACAGAAGGGTAAAACAACTTGCACTATAAACCAGTATGTTTGTGATTACGATAATAAATTCAAATTTTATTATAGCAAATAAGCAGCATAATGAACTGTTTTTTCACATCTAAAAAAAAAAAAAAAACACTGGATGTGACTGGAAGCAAAAGTCTTGTAGATTCAAGTTAAAAAAACCCTGAAAACTCAATTAACACCATAAAGTTAATTCTGTATTTCCTTATTCTTCTCTAGGGTGAAGCATTTTTTACTGCCACCAGTTCCAGAACCGAAGATCAGTGGCTTAGACATTCAGCTCCTTAAGGTACAGCAGACAGTACCATAATTCATGCATTTCTAGTTTGTTAAAGCAACAATATATTATTTTATTAATTAATTTTTCCACGAGCCGCAGTTTTATAGTAGTGCAGTTTAATTTTACTTTTGAGCTTTTTTTAAAGGTTAAATATGACATTAGGATGAAAAAAAACGGCAGTGCTTTAGAATAGAAAATGAAAATTCTGTCATAATTTTCTCACCCTCATGTCGTTCTAAACCTGTATGAGTTTCTTTCTTCTGTGGAACATAAAAGAAGATAGTCACATTACATTGTGACAGTTTCTCTAAACAATCTGTTTAAATGTTCTATCATTGTCAAAAAATAGGAGGGAGTTTTTTAAACATTTCCAGCAGACAATGAATTGACCCCACAAAACTGCAGTTACAAAATACAAAGGTCATTTTACTTCTCATTTCAGAGTGGGAAGTCCGAGGAAATCTTCAGTGCTCTGATTACTCCGGGATATCCCCAAATAGCCCTGAGATCAGACCGTCAAGTGGAGTACCTCGTGGTCTCTGACTATGATGAGGAAATGGATTTTGATGGCAAAGCTCATCTTGAGTACCAAAAGGGAGAAAACTGTCCCACAGGTACTGCACAAAAGATCTCTCAAAACAGCATCCAGATCACATTGAACAGCAGTCAGGATCTAATCACAACACTGAGTGAACACGTCTACTGTGGGACTGTCTCCAATCAGCTAAATGCCACCAGCAGTGTCCTTGGAGAGCCTCAAAAACTACTTCACCTTGATTGCAATGGCTCACCAGTAAAAGCTCGGGACCAAAACACTCAAATGAGCTCCGGTAGCAAATGTGAGCACGTCAGCATCAACCCTGCTGGACTTATGGGGTATGTTGTGGTTGATGAAGAGAAACGAGACCAGACACCTCTGGTAGGGGAGGACTACAGTATGGTCACTGACGTTATCAGTGATAACATCCTTGTACTACAAGACATCATCCCCATACAGGGTCACAAAGAGGTCAAATGTGACAAAACATTTAAGGCTGAGGAAACCGGAGGTGTTTTCGAACCTCTGGGATACTTGGAAACCCTGACAACATTTTCAAGTGGATCTTGACTATTTTGCGTCTTAAACTTCAGAGGTTTGGGATAATTTTGTCTCATAGTGAACTGTCAAGCATTTTGTTAGCAGAGATGGGAGAAGGGTTCTTTCAGCAATCAGGGGTGTGTTTCCCGTACAACGACATAACTTGCTGCTTAACTACCTTAGTACAAAGCATCATTGAAGAAATTAACTAGCTATTCATAATTGATTTACAAAACTGCTTATTTATCATTTTAACCACATTGGCTCAACAATGTCGTTACTGAGGTCACGCAGGTGGTGGAGTAATTACATCTGCTAATTAATCATTTCGGATCAAATTAATGTCAGATTATTAATGTAAATAAAAAACATGGCATATGAGGACTATAAAAATATTGTTAGCCATTGTTTTGTTATTTGCAGTTTCCCCTGGGCACTAGAGCAAAATCACATTCTTCAAAAACTGCACTTTCATTCTCTTGACAAAGTAAAAGACAGAATTCAATGTATATATGTATGCACAGTGTGTGTGTGTGTGTATATATATATATATATATATATGTATCTACACATGTGTATATGTATGTGTATATAGTAAAAAAGTGGCGATACCACTTCTTTTGTTTTCGATACGATACTGATACTTTTAAAGGCCAGTATCATCGATACCGATACGATACTTCTAAACTGAACTTTTAAATTTATAAACACTTTATAATTGAAATGGATTTTAAAATTCAATACGCCTTAATTGCAACTTAATAGGTTATATTTTTGTTTAATCATTTAAATAATTACATTTATAAATTTATAAAAAAAAAATTATAAAAGTTTTTTATATAGCATTTATATAATTTAATTAATTAATTAAATAATTTTAAATAATTGTTCCTGTGGCTCAGTGGTAAAGCTTTGCGTTAGCAGTGCAAAAGGTCGTGGGTTTGATTTCCAGGAAACACACATACTGGTAAAAATATGTGTAGCCTGAATGCACTGTAAATCGCTTTGGATTAAAGTGTCTGCTAAATGCATAAATTATTTATAAAATTATTTAAATTATTAAATTATTATTAATGATTTAATTAATTAAATTATATATATATATATATATATATATATATATATATGTGGAATGAAAGAGATACAGATTGTACTGTCAGCTTGCTTATTTTTCTTAAGAGCAAAGTCCACACATCATACTAACAAGAAACTATGGTTGTAACTACAGGTCGCGAGCTGTAGTTCCAACCACACAACTTTGCGATGCTATTTTTGAATGTTCGTTGGAACTATGGTTTCGGGAAACGGCAAATTGTTGAACTACGTTGGGAGCAGTGGAACTTGCAAACATATTTGGCTAACAATGCTTTTGGGAAACGCACCCGTTACGTTGTATCTGTCAATCTGCACAACTACAGATACAGTTTGCACAAACACAGAACAGTTTCTGTGGGTAATTCCAGTCTAAACAACACAGCTAAAGCTGTAGTAATGGGTCGAAAATTAGGTTAAAAGGCAGCGTCATTCCAAACCATTACACATCGACCAACAGCCGGTAAAAAATACCCCACTAAAGATCATTATAGTAATTGTTAAACCTTTCAAAATGTTTCTTCAACCTTCTACCTCATAGCACACACACACACAAAACATCCCACTGGAGTTTCTACCACTTTCTCTAAAGACCTGGCACTTTTTGATTATTTGATAGTTTGATTATTATTAAGAATTTTCATAGTTTATTGGAAACATTTTAAAATACAGAAAAGCTTTTTTTTTGTATATTTATTCACAATGATACTATGAATATAATAAGTGTGAGATTTCTTTGGTCAAAACAACTAATGATGATACAGTGTGTTTATTGAACTATACATCCACTAACTGCATGTCGCTCACAATCCTTTTTAATTTTACGTGATTTAATCTTGATTTATAACACTGGTTAAAATAGTCATCAATATTCACTCATTTTTGCATATATAGACAGCATCACTGAATGCATCCTTCTGAACTGAACTTGGACACTTTTAAAGGCAGTATCTATCTAGAATTAAGACTAATGTCAAATAATAGATGAGATCTGCATAAAACTCTGGCACACAAGGGTTGTCAAAGCTTAACCAAACACAAGGGCAGTGAGCCCAAAACAGTGTGGCAGGCCTTTGATGTTTTTTTTCCACCTTATATAGAGCGCCTCAGAGAAGCTAGTTACAGCGGCAGACACAGATGGGTCAGCTGGTCTCATCATGGAACATTTATGGTCTGCAGTGCAGCAGTAAAGAGTTACTTTAAGTCAAACATTGACTTAACACTATACAAGGACAAACATTTGGTTCAGCATGAAAGAAAATGCTAGAACTATTGTGCAGCTTTTATGTGTATTTAAATTAGAATGCAAGCCATTTGTTTTTATATCACCCATTGTGGTACATTATATGTATTTTGTTTATGTAACAATGTGATGCTTAAGACGTACAATACTACAAGAGATTTAATATGAAGTTATGTAAAAACTGTCAGCACAGGGGTGCATTGGTATTTCTAGCTCGAGTTCCTCACATTCTTTCACTGACAGTGGCATGTGTAATTCAGTTTTCTATCCACTGCTGGACAATGTCCAGAGAAAAGCACTAAAAGGTTAGGAATGATTTTATTTTTGACCATAAATTTGCAGTAAACACCAGTTCTGCAATTTTTTTATAAGTTGTCTTAAGCTAAAATAAAGAGTTCTATAACCAAAAAGTCAATATTTTCTTAAATCATCGATGGATAAATCCTGAAAGCAGCATTTCCTTCACAATCACAAAGTTGTTTTTGGTCCCATAGTCAACATTCTGAAAATACATAGAAGCAGGGGAAAATGTTTATATGTGAAAATGATTTGTTACTGCTTAGTGAAGTTTTGAATTATTAGCTCTATGCTACACGCATATGCCATGAACCACTGAGTACTACACAACTGCATAACACACACATTCCCTATTAACTGCAGTCAACAGCAGAAAGGCATAGAGCTAAACTAGCACTGAGAACTTTAAGGAGAACCACCTCAAGCACTCAGTATTAATGGTTCAGCTAGTGTTGAGGAACAGCCAGAGGAGAGTTATAAATTAAAAGTGAGGACTATGATTTAGGTAAGTGATGTTTAATAAGTTCTAGGAAGGAGAGGTATTCCCACAAACAGTTCACGGTCGTAACAATCATTTGCTTTATGAGCCTTCAAAATTAACGGCACCCTGCCGATAATGATGACACGTGGGCAGCAAACACAGTGGACATGATCAGTAAAATTGTGCAATTGTGGAGAAGGAAAATAATTTGATTTACATAAATTAAGTCATTCAGATTGTTTCTATCATTTTATCAAACTACTACACTTATTTTAATAGAAATAAAGGGATATTAGCTTTTTGCATAAATATTCACCATTCAGATTGTGGAAACGTCCAACTAAGTATGTGATATCTTTACGAAAATATTTTTAGTCAAGGGCTGTTCTCTATTTTCAGCTGGATTGCCTCTTGATTTAATACACCATTCCAGGTTACAGGAATATACGTTTACATTTTTAATAAAATCCTCTATAGACAGGCACATTTGGTACTTCAAGATATTCCTGACATATTTCACAGGGTGCTGAGGGCTCACGCGGGGTTGGAAACACTGTAGTAATTGGTTTCCGTGTCGCAGAACGGTCAGCTTTTTTTTTTGCAGCCCTGCAAACAAACAAAAACAGACATTTTGTCTCATTCGTCGGTGTACTTCCATCAACTTCCTTCATGGTCATCCAGCAGCTGCTCTGAACCAATAGAAATGGATGAAAACTGGTCCTCGAAATTCAGGAAAGGGTGGTTGTAATCTTTTTCGAGCATTTTCTTCCAGATTTTAACTGAGAAAACACAAGCAGAATAAAAAAGTGAATCCAAATAGAGGGAGTGGATAAATCTTATAAATGAAAATTAGTTTTCACGTCACGTCACATGTAACAAATGATTTGCACTTTAATGATGTTTTAAAAAACTCACTGTAGCTGATTATTCGATCAATATTTGGCTATTTTGTAAATTGCATATTTTTTTAAATAATTATTTTTTTTATTAAAAAATATTGTTAGTTTAAAGGGGTCATATGATGCAATTTAAATTTTTCCTTTCTCTTTGAAATGATACAAGCTCTTGGTGCATAAAGAAGATCTGTAAAGTTGCAAAGACTGAAGTCTAAAATCCAAAGAGATATTCTTTATAAAAGTTGAGTCAACCACGCCTACCTAAACCGACTTGTTCTAACATGCCCCCACATACCTACGTCACGATGTGGGAAGATTTGCATAACACCGCCCAACTGTTCACGCAAAAAAAGAAGGCGTAACTTTTATTCTCGCTGTAGTATTGTTACTGCCGCCATGTCGTGAAGACGCTGTTTCTCATTGTGAAAGCGAAACTACTTTGTCTGGTCTTCCAAAAGAGGACACAACTAGAAATCAGTGGTTAAGTTGTATTTACAACACTGTTCCAGAACACTTCAACTCAAATATTCAGATGTGTGCAGCACATTTTATGGAGGACTGTTTCCTGATCCTGGTAGAG